AACTTGATGCTTGAGCGAATATCTTCGTCGCTTCCAAGCTCTAGAGATACCCAAGCCCCTTAGTCGGGGGGGATTATGGGGGGGGACGATTCCCGAGGCTCAGCTAGAACACTGTTCGAAAAGGGCAAAGGCTAGGCTATAGGCATCCTGTGCCACCACCACCTCATCCAATGCTGGCAGGCAGAGTTCAGCTAATTAGTGCACTCGCACACGGTACGCCGGTGGGAGACTGGTCAGTACGTTGATGGCACCTAGTTCCTGAACATAATGAAGCATGGTACGCATGTGCAACCACCTTCCTCGCCATTGCAATCTGGATAAATCTTCATTCCAGAGTTGGAACAAAAAAAGTGGCGCCTCCGGGGCGCAAGGAAGATGGATATACAAGTTTACTTTGTCCACATGCGGTGACTAGAACCTGGTCAAACCTCACTCTCAACAGGCTGGGAGTGAAAGGCCAAAGCCTCTCGGAGTGATGCATCACTTTGAAACACTTCTTGGAAAAAGCTATCACGCAAGGCTCGTCGATTCTCACGGACTGAAAGCGGGCCCCTCGAGTGCGAGTTTTCACATGCATCAACTGAAGGAACATGGTGTTTGGATGCCCAGAGTCTAAACTGAGGACGCAGTCCTTCACTCTTAAGTAGCACATCTCTGCAGGCCGAAGTAAACCGTAGAAGCCGAGACAAAGCACTAACGCTAGCCTGGTCCAATTCCATGACAAAGCAACGCTTATCATCGCTCGCAGCAGCGGCAAAGGCATGGGGGGATGCACCGTGGTGGGATGCAAGTTTTCCCAAGTAGTTACCAGCTGCCATGGGCCATTCAGTGTGGGTCGTAGGAATGGAAAGGATTGTTGGAGGGCATTCAAAGTCTCTGCAAAGTTTCTTCGGCTTGCGCCGTTCTCGTACAGAACTCGACCAAATTCCTCCACAAGCTCGCTCAGCAAGATGGCATTCGTCCGTGCCAGGTCTCTCAAAGACTGTGTCTGGTGAGCTTGGTTTGTGAGCCAAGCAGTGAACTCCCCCCAAAAGTCGCTGTCGATGCGCTGCAGTTGCACCTGTCACCCTGCCCTGCAACAGATCTGCACGATTTCTTGGAGCAGCGGAGGGTCTGGGAGCCCCTGCTAGAATCACCTGACTCACCAGATACAGCCAGAAGAGCCACCGAGCACAAAAGAAACCATCTACCCAATGAGCGAGGGGTGTCTGAAACTTCATCTAGGGAATCTTGAGCCCGAGAGAGCTTGCCAACGCGCAACTCCAGAAACCATGAGGGCAAAGGGGCTCTTGGTAGGCGAACTGTCTTATTCCGTGAAGGGTCATCCGCTCGCAACGCCCACGTGGGCGCATGTGCTCCTCCTACATACAAGTCTTTAGCAATTTGGATTGCCATTTCTTGTTGCGTGACATTATTAAGAGCCCTACTACTACTACGTCCTTTAGCGCCCGCTCCTAGAGTTACCATGGAATCTTGGAAAACAACTACACGCTGACAAGGCACTAGGTTGAGAAGCAAACTTCTTCGAGCGTGGCTTTCCAACACATTTATATGACCTCCATGTTTGAAACGATATTTCCGGAAAGGTACCCATGGCAATGACTCAGCTAGTTGTGTAGACCATAGGTGACTAACAAATCGCTGGGCCCCTCGTGAATCAACAATGGTGGTGCTGTCGGTCTTCCACCTGGAATTTTGTTTTGAAACCTGCCGTTTCCAACCTAGGCCATTACACACGGTAGTTACTATCTTGGCTACATAGGTACAAAAGGGGGGTGCAATATCGTGACCCTGCGTACATGTTGCTTCCCTTATCTCTGTCGTAGTGGACATGGTTCTGTGGACAAGTTACCGAAAGATTCGACAACAACTGATGAGTGGTAAGAACTCGTCTAGCATTTTGATAAGGGGACCCAAAAAACGCATTGGTCTATTTTTACTTCAACCCCTCCTTTTGATACGCAAAATTTCCACCACGGAAGACCCTTCGCAAACGATCCCCAAGGTGTATCCAAAAAGGCAAACCGCCCCCCGAATGAACTGAGTGAACCACAGGGCTAAACTACCATGAAGGTGAAGATTACCCCGCGCCACATCAAGGTGGGTCATGTCGAAACCTAAAGGTTTTGAAATGCTTCTTAGTTTTGGTGTCCGAGCACATGAGAAGGATGGACATGGAGGGCCTAGCCACAAAATTGCAACCCTTCCAGTCAAGCACAGAGCATGAAGCAGATGAAACAGTGAAGAGTCCAACAAATCCCACCCTCTTTTAAGTTCAATAGGGGGGTCCTACCACAAGACCTTGCTCAGCAAACGCAGTCGTCATTCTAGCGCAACCAGCATACACCTCAATGAAATCAAAACGCAATGATAGGGGCGTCTCTGGTGGTAGATTTCTGGACTCTTCCTGCATGCGCTGAACATATCGGTCTATCTTTTTGTCCTGTGAACAAAGGGCGTCACACTGGTCTTCAGCCACATAGAGGCAAGAGCAAGGCAAATCACCAAAACCCTCCCAGCCAGTGGCAGCTTGAGCTGCAGTTTCTTCACGACTAGAAAGGTCATTGGAGATTGCACTTGCATCCACTTCCAGGCCATGTTCATGCAGCGCACATGAAGGTTTGGACAACAAGCGAGTATGAAACCCTCTACTCTCACAACGCCTGAAGATTTCCTGCGCCACACGTCGGCCAACTCTGCATCGTACCGCCCCAGCACCTTCCGGAGATGCATCTGTGGCGTACAAGTTGTCACTGACCTGGCTTCTCAACTGTGTGAGAGCTGTAGGTCCTAGCAACGACAGGAGCTGAAGTTCTTGCTGGGCTGCTCTAGTCAGCAAAAATGGGCTAGTTTCTGAACCATCTGGGGCACCCTCGTTGTACAAGGTCTGAATGAGGGAAAACAAGCACCGCCTAAACTGAAAGCAAAAAAGCCCAAGACCCCAAAAGGGTTTCCAACAGCTGCTTTGTGACAATCCTAGATTGGGACGCTTTCATGGTGGTAGCTGACAAGGAGCACAGACGAGAGCGCTTTGCGCCCACAAATCCTTCAACACCCTCAACTTCAGCTCCCCAAGCCACAAACGTTGCAGCTCTTCTCTGCCGCTTCTTTGGGTGGAACTCCAAGCCCGCGTTTAAGTAAGCTTGGTCAGCGACCTCACATGACTCTGTGTCTCTAAGCCGTATGTTGGGGTCGGATTTGGGCGTGAGCTGCATGTTCACCTTATCATCTATACAAACCCCAGAAAAAATGGCCAAGAGGAGCCCTAGGCGTGATCTTTCCAAAACACAGATGTTCTTCATTTCTTAGTGCGCCTGACTTCTTTAACAGATTTTCATGTGAGGCTTGTGCTAAGCATGGAGCCCAGTGGTCGCCCATTGACAGCCCTTTGAAACACATGTAAACTTGTTGAGATGGTTTGATGTACTGATCAGGAAATCGCGCGCGCAACTCTACCAAGGCAGAGCTCCCCTCCCACTCCCGGACCGACCATTTACATCCTACAGGGGTACTCAAAGCTCTATCCAAACTTACCTCGAACTCATGATAGAAATTTCGAAGATCATCCAAACTCCCCAAAAGATCCATATTAGGGGGAATGACGATACCCAAAAAACGAACTAGGATGCCCCATTTTCGGTCCAGAAGTGGGAGGGGGTAGCTCCCTGCTGTTCCGTGGCCGTCTGTCTATGATCTGCCGGAGCTCGCCATCCCCTTTTGGGATACAAAACAAATTGCATCTGTCTTCAACGCAAATCTCTTCTGGCAAGGCCAAGCAAAGTCGCGACACGCGGTCCCACCGCCAGCCAAGGCGGAGAAGCTCGGCCCGGGTCTCATGTGTGAGCACATCTGGTGGCATGGTTCTGACCTTGGCGCCTTCTCGCCAACCTACCAACGCCGAAGGGTTATGATAGGCCCTGCTCATGACATCATCTAGATAAGGAAGGGGATTGAACCCGGTCAATTCATTAGGAAAAGCTACCATGTCAGCTTTCAGGGAAGCCACCAGTGTGTCACCTGTATCCGCCCTCTTTCGTGAACCAGTTTGGGGGATACCATATGGTAGATCTTGAACTCCTGTGGACCAAACATGCAAAGATTCTAATTCAGAGGACGCATGCGCAACCCTCGAGCCGCTCCCCAAGAAGTCTGTCCTACCGAGGCGGCTTAACGAGCGCACCCTGCCCAACAAATTATCAACAACCAGTTTCTGTTGAGGTGACAAGTCCAACCCAAAATTCCAGGGGCCCTTCGCGCCAAAAGAAAAGTTTAGCGCAGCAATCTGCAGATTCACCAACAGTTCAATGGCCCTTCGTTTGCGCCACCTCTGTCGACGCCGACGAGATCCTTGATGCCTCTCTGGCATCGTCCACAAAAAAAGGTGCAGGGATAGGAAAAAGCTCCGCAGATCGGGGACAATCCGATCCGCATAGTGCCATGCCAGCTCTAAGATATCTAGAAAACACTGTTCTAGACGCCAACGTCGAATTCAGCAAAAAGCGTGGCCAATCATCAAAGGTGATCGGCTTCATGCTGCGCCCTCCTCCTCCATCTTTTTTCCACGGCCCCGGCCCATACCTTTCTCGGATGTTTTTCCTCCCCCCTTTCTCTGGCATGAGATTGCTTGTCCTGTGGTAGCCCCGTCTCTTCACCAGCATCTCCTCGTCCTTGAGCTTTGCGGACACGGCTGCTGCCCAAGTGCTGTGGATCAGTCGGCTGTGAGCGAAGTCCTGTCGAAGCTGCACAAGATTTGGATCTCTCACTCTCCATTCGGGGAAAGGTGGTTGGGCTAGATGGGTCAACCGCCAGGCAGTGTTCCAATTCTGGTCTAACTTGAACTGCTCTGCAGCTGCTAAACCCAGAAGGAGCAGAAGGTGTGCCTTTTCGTGCTGCTTTGCTCGCAAAAGGCCTGCTGCCTTGGTCATCACCCATACTAAATGGCCCATGTTGCGATCTTGTCCAATGGGCATTTCCTCTCGACAATATCTCTCCATTGTCTCGGGGGATGCTGTGGTCTGGCCGAGGCATGAGGCAGCCAGAGCTTCGATGGCTGCTATGTAGTCGGCTGGGCTGTTGTCCATGCTTTGCCGGAGTCGCTCCTGTAGAAGGGTTCCCTTTGCCCCAGACAAGCGGCGAAGTGGGTCCTCCTCTTCGTCGCTGCCCGAGCTCGCTCCCAAAGCAAGACCCACTTTCTTCTTCTTGCTTTTGGTGTTCTTGTCGACCAACTTCAACAGTGCTAGCTTCAGCATGCGATCCACATCCCCAGTCTGTTCCATAAGGCCACCTGCTTCCTCGTCCCACTCCTCGCCATCTAGGTCTGGATTTGGAGCAGCTGGTGGACATGGGGTGGGAACAGCCCGTGTGAGAGGTGGTTTCCCAGCTATCTTTGCTATCTGGCCTAGCGCTCCAGGGGCTCGGTTTGAAGCCGCAGGCTGCTGGGCCTTCATCTGGCCCATGTCTGTTTGGAGCGTGTTCACTTGAGCCGCCAAAGTTTGCAGCTGGGTGAGGACCGCCTCGAGGACATCTGCTTGAGGGGCCTGACCACGTTTTGGCTGAGGAGCCGCTTCGTCCTCTAAGGCTGTGTGGTACTCGTCGGGCGCTCTCACCAACCCATCGTCTACCCACATCCTCACTGCTTCCACCAAGTCGTCCCGGTCTGGTCGCACCACCACATCTTCCCACTGGAAATGCACAGTGCCTTCGGGCCAGGCCGGCCTCCGTCCACTGCTGAAGACTTTGAGCTTTGAAAAGGAGGCTTCTGGAAAGTCCAAAACTAGAACCGAGACAGTTGCTCCATCTTCCTTGCCTTCTACCAGAACTTCTCTCTGGAGGACAGGTCCTAGATCGGGTATATCTTCTCCAATTGCCCCTTGCTCGAGCTCTTCTGCTGAAAACAAGCCATCGGGCACTGCCACCATGACCCCGCGCGCTCTGCGCAGCACTGGTATGGCCGCCCCATGCCGATCGGGGAGCGCCACTAGAAGCCATTGGTAATCGCCCTCTCCACTGGCCAGCTTCAGGTTCCGCAGCTTACGTGTGGTGAGAGGCTGCGCCATATACCCTGCTTGGCTCGAACAGCTGTGCTTACACTATAGCCTCGGGAGAGAAGGCTGGGACTGCAGTGCTGCTCAGTGCTCAGTCTTGTCGCCGATAGCCAGCCAAGCGGTCTTCTCGAGGAGCTGGGAACTGGGGTCTGTCCACCGTTTCTAAGAGAAGACTGAGAAGGAGGCGCCGAAGGCGAGCTGAGCAAAAGAGGGCAGTAAGGACCGATCCAAAGCAGCAGCCAAGGATGAACAGGATCAGACCGAAAAGCACCCACTCTGCAAAGCCCGGAGGAGGTCGATATGGCGAGGCTGCAGCAAAAAGGAGTGATTCAAGAAGTCGGTTCCACATCTAGGAGGGTTCCAGCCAAAAAAA